GTGCAGGTTGAAGCAGGAAACAGAACTGAAGTCTCAGGCAAAATTGAAGCAAAGACTGCTGAAAGGGAGCCCAGGAGATCACTGCACTCCACCTGTTGCCAAACCAGCAGTGACATATCAGTGGTGTTTGTAGCTGGCTTTCCCCCCACAGTTTTTGCAGCAGGTGTTTCAATGACAGAGATTTCTCAGTATCTACAGATACTGTGCAGCACTTCTTTATTATCACTGAAGTTCCCCACTATATAACCAAGATACTGCTTGTTGCAAATTAAGCCCATTATTTTTTTTCCTTGCTATTGTAGACAGAAACAATTTGTCTCTGTTCTTTCAGAAGTTTCTTCTGTATTTGAACATTTCTCAATAGGTTCTGTTATCCCAAAGACTTTATTTAGGGCTACTGCAATTTATCATTTGACTTTCAGTAGACTATATTAAGAAAAACCAATTTTTTGTCTTCTTAACTTCCCTCTGATTAATAATAGTTTGTACAAAATGACTTAGAGTGGAAAACTCATGTAGCGTATTTTATGTTTATTATAAGGGACTGAATTTTAATCAGTCCTTATGAGAAAAAAATTTGCACCCTTTATCACATGAGAGCTTACAGATATATTAAAAATTCTGGGTAAGAGATCTAGGGTGTAATTCCATTATGTGTGGAAAAAATTTCTGAAGGTATTTCATGAAGCAATGCAAAAAAACAAACTCCTTTTTCTGGGAATGATGAAGAGCATGTAATATATGGCTATGAATGTTTTTACATTTAAGTAATTATTGAAAAATTTTTCAGAGAACCCATTCTAAACTTATCTAGTAAGAAGACTCACTCACTATTTTGGAATCATTGTGTTGATGTTTCATGCTTCCCACACGATCTTAGAAAGCTTGTCTTCTTCCTTCTTTGGAAAAGTTTTATTTTTCAAGAGATATCACTGCTGGGATATTATAAAACTACCATGAATGTTTTGTATTAACAGATAAAACATGCATGCTCCCAAATATATGCATTTCTGAGAGGAATGAAAAATATTTTGTAGCCTTGTACATTTGGTTTCAAGATGCAGCAAGCTCAGATACAATTTATCTTATAGCAAGTGGATTATGAAGAAAAATGCTGGCCCACATGGGTTTTCAGTTATCATTATACATTATTTCTTGTGGGAATTGGGTCTCAGTGCCCCAGTCAAGGCCTCAAGCTGCTTTGCACCGTGGCTGTTACATGGAGGCAGAGCAGAGGCACACTCTGGCAGATGACCCCTTTATTTGAGGCTGTGACAAGGCTGCGGACGCTGGAAGAAGGTGTTTGGATGTTTCTGGAAGCAAGTGTGTTTTGGCAGGTGGCTTTACAGTCTCCTAACTCTAGTTGCCCTCTATCTAGCCAACACCAGATATAAAGACATGGAGAAAAACCTCACATAAAAGAACATATTAGGTTGTTTAAATAGAAAGAAAGTATTTAGAATATAGTGTATTGCTGAGTAAATGAATGAACAGTTTAACAAAACCAAAATACCAAGTTGTCTTGCTTTTGCACAGCACGGTCCAAGAGTTAAAGGCAAAGCCTAATGAATTTTTGATTTGTTTTGTTTTAGAACGCCAAGCGTGTGCATCCATGGCTGGCTCCAGCGCCCTTCCCTCCAGCGTGGCCGGTATCAGCAAGGAGCTGATGGAACTGCAGCACCTCATCCAGTTCCCGGAGGAGGTTGCCAGCATCCTGACCGAGCAGGAGCAGGAGCTCTACCGCAAAGTCTTACCCATCGACTACCTCTGCTTTCTCACCAGGGACTTGGGCAGTGCTGAGTGTCAGAGCAAGCTGCCATCTATTAAGGCATCCATATCTGCTACTATTCTTTCTTCTCCCAATGGTGAACATAATGCTGTAGAAGATCTTGTGACAAGGTTTAATGAGGTAAAACAAAAATTTTAAATTACTTTTCATAAGGGTTATTACCTGATATGTGGGTTTGTTATTTTCTTTATCTCTCCGAGCCAAATTTAGTTGTAACTACAAATTTTTAAAATATAACTGAAGATGACCAGTTATTTAGCTAAATAACTTGCACTGAATTTAATAGGAGCTATGTGATCAATTTGCTCAGTGAGGCTGGGAAACAGTGGCCTACCTTTTTCTTGCACATTGTAAAGTAAACATGAAGAAAAAAATTACAGGCTTCTAATACTTTGTATTTTTACTGACAGTATGGGGTACAGTTTCAGTCAGTTTATTATTATGTTTAGGTGCTGGAGTTCTATTTATTTGTTTTGGATTCTTGTAGACTAAGCATGATCTTAGGAGTCAGCACAGAAGTATTATAAACTAGAATTTTCTGTGTTTTCCGTACTATAACTACGCTAGTCTGCACTATTTATTTAATCATTGTGTGTGTCTTGAGCATTGTTATACAAACAAGTGTCACTTGGCATGATATTTTCACAAGCCAAATGTTGAGTTCTTTAGTAAGATTTTATTTTGTTTTCAGGAAGGTGGTCTTCTGACAAGTTTAATAGAAAATTGATTAAGAATTGAGAAAATGGTAAAAAAAATCCACCCAAAACCCCAACCCAAATCAAAAATCAAACCATCTAAATAAAAATTCATGTTTTAGCTGCAGAAACATGGAACAGTTTCTTCTTTTTTTTTGAGTGGGATAAGGGGGGCTGAGCTATGTGCAATGTTGGCAGTTAGCAGTTTCTAGAATTGTAGAAGTGGAATAAAGTGAAGATAAAGTTGACTTAATGCTTTTTTAGTTTGCTATCCACTGCATTCTTATGGTGGATGAGATGAAAATCGTGCATTAAAAAAAACAATATTAAGTAAATGTAGAATAATATGTATTAACCTCCAGTGAACTTCCTGTGTGTTGGGCAAAGAAGAATCAGGGAGTGAATATGTAGCATGTTTCAAAGTGTTCCTTATTTGTGCATGTTACTGAGATTTAGCAACTAAAATAGGGTAAATATGTTGGCTTCTCTCATCTCATACATAAAAGTTGTAACTATAATATTCAGTCTTTAAAGAGAGCCTAAAAATGGTTTAAATTAGCTGCAGTAGCAGTGCTCCAGAAGATGCTGTGGCTGCAGAGGACTGTAAGTGCTGACCCTGCTGGGGCCCTCCCTCCTGGGGGGCTTCTCCCCAGGCTGAGGCCAGGGGAGATGAGGTGCCCTGGCCAAGCTGTGCTGCAGCCTGGTGAGGCACAGTGCCAGGGCACTTTCTTGAGGATGTGTGGTCATCAGCTGTACAATTGAGACTGACCACCATTGTCTTCTGACATTGAAGGGTCACAGGATTGCAAAGCACGTAGGTCCTGAAGAAGTCTTGTAAGAAATTACTGAGTCTGCTCCATATCAATGACAATTTTAGCATTAAAGTTGCCTTTTGATAATATAGTCAGCATTGTCTTTTAATCTTGGAGGTTTGTGACTTCGCAGTTTTTGTTGTCTAGCATAACTTGTTTGGTAATTGTACAGAAAAGTTTTTTATATAATTTTAATTAATTTCCAAATACTCAGTGCACAGATTCTTTGGTATTTAGTGCAATAGATTATTTGAAGTATAATCTGGAATACATTTTTAAAAACATAGATGTTATATGTTTAAATGGAGTTATTGTAAAATATTTACTGCTTTTAATAAATCACTGGTTTGCTATATGCTTTATCTTACGGTGGAGTATATCAGTTGCCACAGCCAATCACAAGCGTGAGCTCTCAAAATGTCTTTGTTTATAGATGGAAAGAAAATTCTTGTACAAAGAGTCATGATTTTGTTGGCAAAACTCAGTGAGCACTTGCTGATTTTTTTGGCATTCCCTATAGAAATACTGAAGTGTATTTATAATGTGGGAGCCAAAATTACTTTTAGGATGACAGGCTTCTGATACATGATGGGGAAAAACAATTCCATGTCATTTTTCTGTTAAATAATAATTATTTTATTTAGAGTATTTTTCATAAAGCAGTATACTTTTCAGTATTTTTTCTACCAATACATATTAAGGAGGAACACTCTATAAAACTTGTGTAAAATGACAGTCAATCCTGAAGATTCTGAGCTACGTGCATTCAGTATCACCAGCTATAAATAAAGTGTGTAGTCTTTAAGGTTTGATTAAAAATGTAATTGCATAATAGTGGAGCCTTGGGCACAACACGTACTCATCGGTGAGACACAGCTCATACTTCATTTGCTGCTAATAATATCCAGTTGATCTTAGACTCTCGTCAGAGCAAGACTGTAGACCAAGCTAAAGACAGGTATTCTTTCCTAAGTGTAATTAAAAGCTGATTCTGAATTAGTGGCTAGTGTGGGAGGATTAGAGTGAAATACAGTAACATCTACCTTTACAAAACTATTGGCTCTAAGTCTCTAAGACTATGCACTCAGTAGTAGTAGCAATATATTTTTCTGCTCTGATGGAGCTCTGGCTATAAGAAGTTTAGTTTTCAAGGATGTAAAACTGTAGGAAGAAACGTGAGATTCTGCAGAGTTAGCAGAGCCCTGGCAGCTGGGGAGTTAGGAAAATGGTACCTAGGTGTGTTTTAGGATCCTAATAACTGTGACAGCTTTTTTGCCATCTCTCCTTGTTGCCTACTGTGCCTTTCTCTTCTTGATTTAGTTCTTTTCTGTGGTTTTTTTATGACATGAGTTCACCCTGCTTCTTTACATGGAGTGACATGTGCTCCTTCCTCAGTGTCATATGCCACAGTCTTCCTGGGATTCTGTTTCTTTTTCTGTCTCTTTATCCTCCCCAGGCTCTTGCATCTTTATGACTGACTCCCAACCACTCTTGTGCCTGTTACCAGCAAAGCGACCACATAGACACAAGCACAATGCACGTGTTATAAACATTTATGTGTATGTAAACATTTAAAATAATTTCAATCATTGCTTTATATAAACATGGAAAGAGTCTCTTGTAACTTGATGTTTCTGGCTTAAACTTCAAGTAAAAGAAAACCAATAAAGCTGTATACAAGTTGAAACATTTAATTTTCCATGCTGACATATGCGAACAGAGCAATTGTGGGTTCTTAGATTGAAAGTTGCACCAGACTGGAAGATCATTCAGACAGCTGACTGAAGTTAGTCCCACTGCTGAACTGAAAATGCAAAATCAGAAGTCAAATGCATAAAGTGATTTTTTTGAAAGATACAATTGCCAAAAAATAAGCTAAAAAGGTAACAAAGTTTGAACAGTGTTAGTACAGCCCTGCTACTGGAGTGGGTTCATCACTCACTAAATCATTCTTAAAATCAATAAACTTAATTAAAATACGGTTACTTAGGACACTTAGTGATGTTAATTTTATTTTTAATGGTTAAATTTTGGAAGGTTTTTTCATTGTTCATTCAAAATACAAATTTAAACCTCACTAACAAAACAGAGACATATCATTTTACTGAAATAATGGAATGTAAATAAATATTGCAGTCTGTCTCTTAGTTCAGCATTTTTCTGCAATGCCTAAATGGGTTTGCATAATGCTTTTTAAAAAATTGTGTTTGTACAAATATCAAACTCTTTCCAGTCCTTGTTTGGAATCATGTTTAATCAGGTTTAAAATGGTAAATGTTCTCTGTAATATTGTATAATTTCACACAAGCGTGTAAAGTAAACCATCTATTAATAAGATCTGCAATTTAAAATATTCAGATATTAAAAATGCATCTGAAAATTATCTTGCATATTATAGCAAGAGCCAAAAAATTTCAGTAATTAAACCTCAGTGAAACCCATGTAAAAAATTCCAGTTCTGTTATATATGCAGGACTGTGTATAAATATATATAGACAGATATTCATCAATATGCACTGACAGGTTTGTGCACAGTTAGCAGTGCAGAGGAACTGCAGCCAGCTATTAGTGCTAATCCTGCATACTGCTAGTGTTTTTAATTATTGTTTTTAAAGGGAGAAATTGGGACTATCCTGATACACTAAGAATTCTGCTTTTAAACAAAATGTTTTTCCCTCTTGCCATGATTACTGTATGATATCTCCTGGAGGTTATTATTCATGTTCTTCAGATTTTTTCGAATTTCTTGATTTTTGTCAAACAAAATTACTAAAACCAGAATGACTGGGTTAAATGGGTTATAGATTGCTGTGCTTATCTTTTGGATACCTTGTTTTGTATGCAGAGACTTTTCATACACATACTTTATTTTGTCAGTATTAAAGTTTCTTGCTTTCTTGCTCCAGTTTAGGCACTACTTAAATCAGCTACAATTCGTTGTAGAAAGATATCCATGGCTAATTTATGGTAGGAGTTAAAGAAGGCATGTACTGTAATCTTACCTTGTGGTAAGCCAGAAGATTTTGTTTTACTTGCTAGCAAGGGTAATTGTTAAACTTCAGGCAGGCAGCTGTGTTTGGTAATTTCACTTCTGAAAGCTGCATCTCTCAAGTATTATGAAGTTTCTAAAAATGTAATATAAATATAGAAGACATCATTTCTTCCATGTAGCATCACCCACTGAAGTATGTAGCTTGGGAATTGCTGTAAAAGTTTTACAAACTGAAGCGCTGGCAAAATGAGTGTAAAAAACTACAGATGATAAAACACTGCACATCGCAACTGGATATTGTTAATTTCCTCCCTCAAAACACCACTACATTTACATTCTCATAAAATATAAAAAATAAGTTAATTCCCATTTTTAAAAAAATCACATAATATAGAGCTATATAGAGGATAGTAAAGAATTTACATATATATAAATGAATATATATATTCATATATATATATATATAAAATCTAAATCTTGAGTATTGGAAGACTGAAGTAAGAGAATGAGTGAAGAAAATCCATGTCAAATTTAGGGATACAGTTAATAATTCAACATGCATTAAATGCTGTTCCTTCCTGTGTGCTACATGGAGTGAGGTTCCCATAGAGTGAATGATAAACAGTCCTGTAGGTTGCACTTGTACGGAGATTTAAGGTCATGTACCATAACTTGAGGATCAAGTTCCATCAGGAGTGTCTCTTTCATGTCCTTCATGTTTTATTAGTAAAAGCAGCTGACCCTCAGTAATAAGCTATATTCTGGCCCTGACAAATTGGTAGATTTTTGCCTGCATATAGATATTTGTCTTGAAATCAGTGGTAGTCCAATAATTAGGTAATCAAGAACATAGGCTCGTTTTACATTTTTAGTGACTAATATGTATTTCCCATGTTTAAAAGTAAAAAAAAAAATTAACGCTGAGTAAAAATAGGCCTTTCCCAAATGCATTAGCAATAGCTAACCTGAATTTACTTGAAGTCTTTGGTCAAAGTAATGTGAGCCAAAAAACTTTAAAAAAAATTAGTTAAATTAGTTATTGAATACAACAGATTTTGGTGCAGTTAAAATAGTAGAGATTATATAAAAAGATAATTTCAAAAAACCTGAAACTGTACAGATCTTTTTTACATATTGCTCAGTATAGCTTGCATTGCCAAGACATTGGGTACAGGTCCTGTGTGCTCAGATTCAGATTTGAAGGAGATTCCTATATCTATTAAACTTTGCAAATGAGGCTACTTTCTATGTATCTGAACTTAATCTGGCTCAACGTTGCTAGTGCTTCTATTAGGACACCAGAAAATATTTAAATCTTCAGCAAACATCTATTCAATTTTTCTTGTTTAGTACTTAATATTAGTGTCCAGTAATCCTGAAAGACACTCATTTTTATCCATCTGAATGAAAAGACTGATGTTATTATCAACTTGTTTAAGTGAATCATGTTAATTTATTACTTTTCTTGTGTCTTGCAATCATGTGGGTTATCGTAACGAAGCCAGGATACATTTTCTCATGCTTTTCAGACTCATCAGCAGCACAGCGGAAATCTAATTATAGGTTTGCTGTGATGATTTCTGTTCTGAAGGGAGCTTAAAATGAGTTACATAAACAGAACTATAAGTAAAGTGTGAAAAAAAAAAGTAAACTAAGGAAATAATGATTACTGTGTTGAAACGTAGATTGTGATCTGATGTTAAAGTGCTGTCCAGTGCAAAAACTTAGTCCAAAAAGCTTTACTGCTCTTTCTGGCAAATACTTGCAGTGTATTTTGATCTCCTTGGCAAGGCTGCTCCTGTGCACTCTTTGGCTGGGATGTGCTGTGTGTGCTCAGGCACTGCCTGGGCATGAAGCTCTCGTGCTGATGTCATGGCAGCTCGGTACCAAGGCAGCTGATGGTGCTTCATCCTCAGGTCAGGTGTTCCTTGGCTGTGGTGCATCTGGGGACATGGCTCTGCAAGCCAACCAAGAGAGAAGTCCTGCAAGAGGAGGTGCTGTTCTGTGTCCGCTTGGCTGGAGTGTCCAGAAGTCAGAGCTTGCCAGGGTGGGGTTTCCCTTTGCTCTCCTCCCCCACTAGAAAACCCCTGGGTTTAGTGACAGAGAAATTGTGCCACATCAAAATACCATCTGTGCTAATTGCTTGGCAAAGTAGAAGAAATAGGATTCTGAATTCAGCTTCCAGGTGAAATCCATAGACAAGAAATAAGTGCCTGTAGAGTTCTTCTCTGCTTTTCTTTTGTGTGAGGTGCATCTAGCTCAGCTGTACACAGACAGCATCTGAGGAAACCCACTTCTGAACTCCCATTTCAATGAAAATTTGATAAGTTTGTTATTTCTTGAATACCATCTATTCCTGTTCTCCAGGAAAAATTTAAATACCAACATTTCTAAAGCAAGCATGTTCATTATTTCTCAGGAGTGGTTTGTGTCTTTAGATGCTCACTTCTGTCCCCTGATTCTGCCCAATCTGTTATATCTGCCTTTGCCTATTCTGTTTTAAAATGAAAATATTCAGACACTTTTTTTTTCTTTTTTAGTGAAAGATTTTTTAGAATGTTTTTTACTCCTCTTTGTTGTCCTGCAGGAGGAGTGAGCATGACCTTCATGGTGCCTTTTGTACCCTTCTTTTGCTCTTATGTGTTATACAGTATCTCAAGTCTGCAAAGGCTCACCCATGCTGCCCTTTATAATTTTTGTTTGTGTTTTCAGATTGTAAAAGTTCATCATGCTGTTTTTAGCGGTCTTAAACTCTCTATTAAATAGAATTTCAGCAAGTGGCTGCCCTAGTTTAAGGGTTTCCTCTTAATGGAGAGTCTGAAGTCAGTTGCCTTCTTAGACATTCTTTCTCAATTTTGATACTGTTTTCTCCTGATAATTACATCTTTACTACCTTAGATTAAAACATATCTGTTTAAAATTATATGATTCTTTAAAGTTTCTAAAACCATATTAATCAAGTCATTGCCACATTTGGTATTTCATAGCAAACAAATACTAATTTTTTTGTGAGACTGCATGTTTAGCAGTTGCATTCCCTAACACAGCCGTTTCTGGAAAATTAGAATAATAGCCAAAAATAATATGTCACTTTATTTCAGCATGCAAAAACAAATCTGTGCCACAGGTCTGACTGTTCTGTTTCACAGTTTCTGATTTTTAAATGGATTTATTTTATTACCTTTTATTCTGATTTTGCCCTCATTTGACCCCGTGCCATGCACTATGGTGGTTTGTTTTTTCCATACCTTCATGCTCTTCAGGTATGCACTTCTTTGTTGATTGAGTTTTTATATTTTAGGGGTAACTGACTGAACACATCAAATAAAATTTTAGCTGAATACAGATTCTCATTCTGACCTGCTGTAGTGGTTAGTGTGCTGTCCCTGATGCACACAACCTATTACAGCATCCCCATAGTCACTGTCCTCACTCCTGAGTATTTCCCCAGTGAATAAATCTTCCAAGAATTCAGTCCTAAAAGTGTGAGTTTTTTTTTTTTTCCTATATAGGGGGGTATGACTTTTCTTCTCATATGGACATTTCTCATTTATTGTTCTTGATTGATGTTGTCCTCAGACAAGTTAAATAGTAACTTAGATTCTTTGTAGTCTTTGATTTTCCTTCCTCAGGAGCGGGTGGCTCGGAACACTGAGTCTGTATAGACTTGCATAAATAGAAGCCCTATGTATTTTCAGTGGGGTTATTTTCCTGTTAATACTGATGCATTTACATTTTATTTCACATGCTTGGTTTTTAAAATAAAAATCTATGGCCCCTGAAGGGTAAGCCAGCATTTCCTAATTTTTATAAGCCTCTCTTCTTCACACTGGTATTATCTGTAAACACTTGAGTCCTTCAGGACCAAAGAATGGAACACAGTGTCAGTAAACAAATCATGTTTATTGCCTCCTTAGTGTTTACACAATGACAAAAATCAAGCCTCCAGGGAGTCATATTGTAAAAAGAAACAGTTGGATTAAATTAGTTTTCCATGTGAAATATAGCTACTTTTTATGGATGTTGTGGGAACATAAACTGGAAAGAAAAATCTGCACGCTGATAAAATGAAGGGTTGATTTTTATTTAAATACAAACAGAATCGTATATGAAGTTGATTTCTGATTCTGGCATTAATTAATTACCAAAGAGAAGTTGGTAGTGTGGACACACTTTGGAAGACGGACTTTCTTTTTATTTACTTCATTCGTGATCTTGCAAACAGATAATGCAAATTATCTGAAATGTTCAGTGCATATAGGAATTAGCAAAATTGTGCATTAAATGCATTTAGTTTTATGAAATTAGCCAAACCCAAGAAATTCCAATTTATCAACTTTCACTGTTCATATTGTTAACAAAGTTTATGTGGGGCTGAGTTCTATAAGCCATGTTAATGAGAAATTACACTGCAGATCTCTCTAGCAGCTTTGGAAATCAGCGCTACCTGAAGCTGTCCATTTTCTTCTGTGGCATAAATGCATATTCAGATTATCTTATATTAAGATACAGTAGTTTTTGTTTAATAAAAGTTTTTCTAGACTAGTTAATGATTTAACTGTTGTAATGTGAATGTCACTGTGTAGGTTGTGTTTGCAGTGCATATGTGATTTGGCAATGAGCGTGTAAGTGGAATTTTGACTGATACCCTCCTGATGGAAGAAAGCAAACAAACCCACGTTATCTGTCAAGGATGTATGAATGCGCCAAGGGACATTGCTTTGGCTGACCATACTGTCTGTTTGGTTTTACCAGGTGAGCTCCTGGGTTACCTGGCTGATCCTGACTGCGGGTTCTATGGAGGAGAAACGAGAAGTCTTCTCCTACTTAGTACATGTGGCAAAATGCTGCTGGAATATGGGCAACTACAATGCTGTAATGGAATTCCTGGCAGGGCTAAGGTACTGGCAAGTCTTTTTTTTTTTTTTTTAATGGCTTTTTAGTGGTAGATTACATTGTAGCTTCTTTTAAGCAGATGTCTCTGGAGAACAATGAAACTAAACAAAAATCCTTGGCTAAGCCACATCATCTCATGCTGTGACTTTCTAGTAATCCCTTTTCAAAAAAGGAAGCGTGCTAAACCCTTTCTTTTTTTCTCAAAATGCTCTGAAGACTCCATCAGTTTTCCTGGTGGATGCTGAATATGTTGCATTAGAAAAAAAATTTTTTTAACAGAAATTTTTAAAAATGTAAAAAGAAGATGGGAAAGAAGTTGTGGTTTATCTAATGAGCTACAACTAATGTAACTTGGGCTTGGAATTTCCAGAATATAAGTGAAACATGATTGCAGTGATGCTCTAAAAGGATCAGTCTTAACTGTAAAAAATAAACTACCCGAAAATGACAAAAAACCCCAAAAAAGACCAAACAGCCAAATCTGTTTTTTAACCCCTCTGATTTACTTACACAGACTGATGTTGGGATCTCATGCTGTCCTGGTCTTATGTAGGAGGACTTGCATTATCTCAAGGAGGAGAGAGTAGGGGCTCAGAGAGAGCTCATAGTGTGCTTTCCTCTGGAATGACAGGTTCCTGCAGGGCCAGGGGAGCAGGAAGGCAGTGCCTTAGCACTGCAAGAGGGCAGCAAATGACTCTGAGCAGGGAAGAGTTAAGATCAAGTTTCCCATCTCTTGGCTATGACCCTCCTTGTATAACATGTTTGTGTAACAAAGCTCTAAAGTGTTTGCATTGCTGTTCTTTGTGGTTCAGTAAGGACCTCATTGAGCTATTTGTTTATGGTTTTGGTATATAAAGCTCTTCTGGGACACTCATAGGCATGGAGAGTATATTTCAGCAGAATACATCCACCATCTCTAAGCCATGCAAGTTATGGGGGAAAATGCAAGGCCAGTTAAGGGCTTAATTTTGTCTCTCATGCATCTGCACAGCACAGGAGAGAAAGGAGAGGAAGATTAGTGCTGATGAGCAGCATTTCAGGACAGGGATGGAAAGTGGGGCTAAGGGCAGTTTACTGTGAGTGTGTCTTTGGATCTTTTGGTGTGTCTGAGGCTGGGGGTGGGAAGAAAGGCCATGTGATTACACAGACATATGGCTCAGAAGGTAGAAGAACTCCCAGAGGTACTCATAGTCTTTGCAGCTATTTCTGTTGGGAATCAGAATTTCTTTTTGGCTACAGCTCTGCACTGTTGCCTGAGAGCTTGAACATGTCCCTGACTTCCTTATTTCTGTGAAAGTAAATAATTTGTGAGCAAATTGGGGAAGAAATCAATGTAAATTTTTTAAAACAAATTTAATTAAAACTCTTCAACTTTTGCTTACTTTATGAATTGTTCATAATATAGCTGAAGGAATTTGTAAGAAACACTCTGATTTATCTTTATGCTGTTACCTCAATCTTTTCTTATTTCTTTATGGGCCCTTAGAAATTTTAGGCGATGACACAACAAGAATGTTAGAAAGCCTGCTGGTATGTTTTATGCAGCTGGGCTTTTATTAAAATGTGAAATACTGCTCCAGTAGATCAGATTGCTAGTTTCTCCTTTTTAGTTTTGTTCTTTGATAATTCAAAGGGGGAATTTTTATAAAAATAATGGTTGATTTCATTCATTCATTTCTGAGCAATTATAATTTTCTCTATTACATATATGCTGTAGGTGTTGGACTTGAAGGTAAGTTGTTTAAATTTTTTTAGTAAATGTTGTGATCTCTTCTTGCACTAGGTCAAGAAAAGTTTTAAAAATGTGGCAATTTATGGACCAGACTGATATTGAAACCATGCGAAGTCTGAAGGATGCTATGGCACAACATGAGTCATCATCCGAATACAGGAAAGTGGTCAACCGGGCACTCAATATTCCAGGCTGCAAAGTTGTTCCTTTCTGTGGTGTATTTTTAAAAGAGCTCTGTGAAGTTTTGGATGGAGCATCAAGCCTCATCAGACTCTGTCCACGATATAACTCCCAGGATGAAACATTAGAGGTAAATGAGACAAATATTCTGAGATGTTATGTTCTTAGCCAGTGCTTTATTTTATATAATCTTACACACAGGCATCATCAAATTAAAGTTTCTAAACCAGACTGTTATTAGACTGGTCAGTTACATGGACCTCAATTTAATTCCCATAGTTCCTTAGCAATTTAGATTTGGTTCTTTCTACCTAGTTCAATATCAGAGTACTGAGAAACCAGCATTAGTAATAAAGGATCTTGTTTATACTTTGGATTAAGTAACTTTGTAAAGCCCGAAATCTGTAATTATTTTCTGCTAAATACTCTGACCTTCCACTTGATTCACTGGGAATTGGAAATTTGCAGTTTCCTAAAAACAGAATTTAGAAGCTCAGCAGATCAAGCTTTTCCTCTATGGAAAGAAACTATTCTTATGAGTTCTATTATTGTAGTTTGAAAAGAAAAATGCTTCTGTTAGATGAAGCGTTAAAGACTGAGGCTTTTTTTAAGTTTTCAGGAGTCACTTTAACGTGTGTTAGTTGATTTATTAAATGATTTGGTCTGTTTTGTGTTGCAGGTAGGCACAGAATCCCATGGGAAACAATTAGGAAATATACACTAAATATTCTTAATAGTAAAAAATTCCACAGTGAGAAGTAGATGACACAATGTTCTATTTGTAGCTATACTAATCTGTTAGATATATCTATAGTTTGTTTCAGATTACAGTGGACAAGATAATTTCTTACAACGAGTAGGCCAAGATGGTTTAAATAATCCAGAAAAAGAATCAACAACAAACAACATCTTTCAAACAATTCGGAGCTGCAATCGCAGTTTGGAGTCTGAAGAGGGTGAAGATAATGTCAGTGAAGGGAGCGACTCAAGGAAAAACTCCTTGAAGGACAAAAACCGCTACCAGTAGGTCTCATTTTATTTACTATCACCACTTCTATATATCGTGGTTTTCGTCTTTGATTTTCTTTTACCAAGGCTTGCCTTTAGAAATAAGAGCAACTTTAACAACTTTCCTTGTATTTATCCATTTCCAGTTCAGAACTTTTCTCCCCTGATACTCAACTGCTTGGAAACTCTCTGTATAGCTATATTTTCCATCATGATGTAATTACTTCCTCTCATGATAAGGGTAAATCCTTTTTGTCTTACACAGGCAGCTTTAAAAATCCACAGTTACAATTACAATTTTGATCTCTAGCGACAGGAATAGCACCAGGACATATTTGTTATCAGAGCTCAGAACATTATATTCTGCATGCTCAGGCAGTGTTCTAGTCCCTTCAAAAAAAAGGTTATTTATTATCCTACAAAAGACTTCTTCTTTTAAGGACACGTTACTTTGAGGGGTTTCAGTTTTGTCCAGGAAACATTCATGTGTGAGTACATATTTTGAATTTTCAGTTTGCTGTAGTCCTGCTTTTTTGCAAAGAAGTTTACTTCATTGTGCCCTATATAAAAAAAGCCCAGTGTTCAGTAATCTGATTTCACTTTGAAGACCATTCTTGAATACTGTACTAGTCACCAGCAGGAAATACAGGAAATGCAAAGTTTAGGACATCACATGATCTTCCAGAATGTTGCTTTGCAGAGAAGTTTCATTGCAAAGCCCATGTAGACATAGGTGGGTCAGGTCAGCTTTCAACTAAGTAACTGTGTTAGACTGACTTCAAATTAAGTAACAGAACTTTACTGCTCTGAGGTGAAGCACTGTAAAATTACATGAGGGCTTGCATAAAAAAACATGTTTAAGTCGCTGCTTGAGTTATTTTACAGATAATGTGTGTCAGAAATATCAATATGTTCAGAACTATCCAACTTACTTCAGCTACTTAAACTTTAAATCTAATAAGTGACTGCCCGAGAGGCAACTGCTATCTTCCTGTTTAAAATGCATTTATTTCATTAACATGTAATTCTGAATTTCATTTCAAATAAATAATCATTATTTCCTGAAAGGATGGTTTCTAATAGAATTATTCACATCTGGCTTTAGTTGCTTCTGGGAAGTGGTGCACTAGATTAAGCCAAAAAAGGCAGACCCACTTCTCTGCCCACTAATGTTATCTCTTGACTTACTTCAAGTAATACTTTCAAGTACTAATACTTTCTTCCAGGAATTATTTTTTGTTAATCAATATGCTTTAATATCAACTTGCAAATCACAGTTCAAATGGTGAATAAGTGAGGCGTATAAACACTTCACTTGGATGAACAAAATAGAAATGAAATGGAGTTCCTTTTTTTATGTCTTTATGAAATAATTTCTTGGTTAATTTTAAAAATCCCAGTGTGAATCAGAAATGAAAATTTAAAATTTAAATGAACAAAACTGCAGATAGACAATTAAAGTCGTGTTTCCTGGTTCAGGCTACTACCTACTCATCTATGAGTGTTTGTACTTCTCATGCAGTAAATACTGATTTTAACAGTAAAATACTTGTAGGAGAATCATTGTGAAAGTACTGATTTAACTCAAGTGTCTCACAGGCTTTGGAAATTCCTTATTCACTTGCCATGTCTTTCCTGGACGTGCAGAGAGCTGGGTGAGGTACGGGAACAAATTGCTACAGAGGCAGAAGGGCCATGTTCTCTTGTACTTGTGTGGAGGCTGTGTTTGGTGTATTTTTATTCCTATGAACAGCTAAAGGGTTCTAAGGAAGAAATTTAGTCCTCTTTCTTGTAAAACCTGTCATATTTGCATACAGTGGTATAAAATCCAAATTATATCATAATTATGCATTATCTGATAATTGTAGCATTGTGGTCATAAAGGCAGAAAAATACACTGCATAGCATGTTTCTCATTACTTTATAATTGTAAGAAAGATTTTCAATTAGTTTTTCTTTTGATGATTTGGATTAGTGTTGTGGAACATGAATGCACCAAAGCTGGTAGGTTAATTTGATTTGAAGAAAATGAAAGGCATCTAATAAAATCAGTGGGCAGTGGGTATAATTACTTTCCTAGTTGCGTTAGCAAATAAGCTCTGTCACTCTGTAGTCAGTGACCTATCTAATTGCCCTGGATTTCTGTACGTGCCAGATAAATATCAAACATTAATCTTTCTTTGAGCTCTGTTCTGACAATTAATAAATTTTTAAAAAATAAAGGTATGCAGGAAAATGAAAAAACAAACCCAGCCAAATTTGAAATAGAGTTTTTATGGAATTGTTAATTATTGAGTGACCTATGAAGATGCTCCTTATTTTGAATCATTGCTTCATTAGCCTGATCTTATCTTCAATTTAAACTTTTCCAATTACAGTAAATAATTTATAAAATAGTAGGGGAAAACCTCAATTTTTTTTCTTTTTGTATACCTTGCAATTTTCTCCTCTAAAACGGCAATCTGTGTCACTGTTTCCTTTATGTTTTCATTTCCTTGCCTCTCAGGGCAGCCCCTGTAAAGAAAGCCCCTGGTCCAGCCCAGGCTCTGTAAGTGCTCTCAGGAATTGGCAGCGGTGTCGCTTTTGGCAGTGCGTGTCAGAGGCTCCATTTCTGTCTGTGTGTGCTTGGCTTACCTGCTTCTTGTACATTGTAATCTGCAGCCTGCAACGTGTGAAACAAGGCATAAACAAAGCTCT